AAAAAAAAAAAAAAAACTAAAGATTGGACAGTCATAATTTTTAACAAATATACATATTTTTAAAATAAAATATCATATTTTAAAAATAATATAAGTAAAAATATGATAATTTATAGTAATAATATATATTTTTATTAAAAAATACGATACATCTAACGGACTCACCAATTTTTTGTTGTTGTTTCATATGTTAGTCTTTCATGAAATGTACTAAAGTTATTTTGAGGCTTAAAGGTTTAAAGCGTATCTATATAATGCCCCCCAATTTAGTAAGAGTTTAATAATGACCACTAAAGATATGACAGTTAACAACAATTTAATGATTAAGCGCCATAGTTTTTCAAACACATGTACATAGTTTCAAATTTAATTATCATAGGCAAAAAAATATCGTTAATAAAAATATGAAATTTCATAATAAAAATACTCAATTTTGTGAAAATAATATAACAGATCGGTCCGCCTAAAGCGGACCTTAACTGCCTCACACAAAAATTCAAAATAAGGGCCGATAACGGTTAACTAGCTCACACAAGTATTTATAACGATGAAGAATTTGTAATAACTAATAAGGACTGAAAGCGTTCAAGTAACAACATAAATGCAAGGTTGTTCAATTTTATTCCCCTTTTCTCGAAGGTGGAGTAGAGTACTAAATTCAAGAAATTCATCATTCCTCTGTAAAATTTGAAAATTTTGTGCCAAGGCAATCATTTTCAGCTCAAAAGTCCGTTCCTGGCTTAGACCTTTTTGCATTTGTTTCACACTTAAATTTGCTAACAAAAGAATCAAGCAGACAGTATGAATGCTCTAGGTACTAAAATTCAAAGGCAAATTTAGTTTCACATTTGGCCACATTAAGAAAAAAAAAAAAAAAAAAAAAATAGAAGAAGAAAAGGAATATCAAGCGAAGTCGAATATAGGAAACCCGAGTAAAATCCTAATGGCATTTCTCACTGTTGAGCCACTCGAGTCAAGGGATCAACTTTGATAGAAAAGCTTCTAACCGGTCGTCAACAACAGCATTTCCTGCAATCTCTAATTGGACCAAATTCAAGTCCTTGAAAAGTAAGTATGCATCCCAGTAGTCCTTCAGCTGAATGTCTCCTTCGACAAAATTTTCAAAATTACAGTCAACTCCAACTGCGTGATTGAGGGGAGACGAACATAAATATCTTCTTGTGTCGATAGAGTGTGCACCAATCTCATTGTGTGATACGTCAAGTACTTTTAGATACTTTAACATTTTCAAGGGCTCTAAAGCCGTAAAACTGCAGATTCTGTTGTGACTAAGCTTCAAGCAGGATAACAGCTGCAGAGCCTCCAACCCTGCTCGGAAATTTCAAGTCAGAGATTATAAACAGATGAAGACATTTGTTTTAAACAAATATGGGAAACTGAAAATGCAATCAGAAAGCAAATGCACTAGTCAGAATAAAATCTTAAACATTTGGCGTTTGAAATAATTCCAGTAAATCTTCGCATTTTCAACAATCACTAGTTCCTCGCAACAAATAACACACTGAAATATACCAATCGTTAGATCACGAAACCAATCTGATTATGCTCGGAAAGTTACAGAAACTCGATTAATCTGGATCATGCAAACAGTATCAGAAAATAATTTCGTCAATATATTTCAGAGAACTGTGTAGCATAGAATACCTTCAATTGAACGGAGCTTGTTGTGGCTGAGATCTAACATTTGAACCCACAGTAAGTGCTCCATACTTCCGATTCGTGATAATGAGAGACCATTGAGCCGCGCGCACAAATAAGGATTTACACTTGATAAAAGAGGCTCGTGGTATTGATAGCAGTGCTTCAGTAAAGAGGCTTTATCCGATGTCAGCTGTAGAATTAACCAAAATTATAATTAGTACAAGAGGTGGTTGTTTCTTTACTAATGAGATTTCTCAAACCATACAAATTAGTTACCATTGTTCCTGAACATAAATAATCCTAATCATTAGAAACTGTTAGTGCCTTAAGGTGATAGCAACAAACTGGACATTTGATTTGCTGATACTAAAGAGTTATGACTTCTACCAAACAGTAGAATTTCAAGTAACCTATAAAGCTAAATAAGACTGAGTGATATAAAGCCACTCATTGTCAAACATCTCTGTCAATACTGTAACAGGATCCTACATATCTCGTGTTATTGCTCAAAGTTTTTGATTTACCTGCTTAAATAAAACCAAACTGTACTCATCCTCATAGTAACAAATATGTGCAGGATCCATCTTCATTAAATCTTGATAAAGGGCGAGAATATCTTCATAACGGGTCTGGATTCCATCGTCACTGCTTCTGAATAACGTCAATGTGTTATGTGCCATCAAGAGTCTAGCAAGAGTAAGTTTCCCAATTTTACTACAACAAAAGGAAAAAAGAAATAAGGAAAAAGGCTTGATAAAACAATAAGCTTCTATAAAAATTATCATACTGTTCTTTTCGCGAACGTAGCTTACCAGTTTGTTGTTGACAACAGTTCCCGGCAGTGATCTATTTCACTGGATATAGTCTCTACACTCCACGTACGAGTGTTTTCTTTGTTCTGCTCAGTGATTTCCATTTCAGAAATCAAGTGGGGCAAGTTTACCTCTTGAGATTCAGGAGCAAGGGCCTTAAAGTGTTCCTCTTGCCATGATATTCTATCTATTGTTTTCATCTCAGAGTGCTTTTGCTCGTCAGAAGGTAAACAGACAGAGAAAGATACATGACGAGACTGATTACAGGGCAAACCACCAGAGGAAGTAATACCAGGAGAACTTGCAACTGTAACCTTTACAGGTAAAGCCTCTGAAAAATGCATTTCATCAGGAAACTTAAGATAAGTCAACCAGGCTCGAGAAAAACCATAATTAGTCACGGACAGTGGTCTCCAGGAAAAATTGTCCGCCGAGTGATACTCAATAGTTACTGTAGATGAGCTTACACCTTTCACTGCATCGCTAAAATATAAAACAAGCGGAAATATTTTTTCTTCGGAACAATCAATTGATACAGATAAGTTTGAGCCATGGGGAGGCCAAGAAGAAAGAAATGTGGGTTCCCGTTTCAACGTCTGATCCAGAAGCCATAGATGATAGAACCAACCACTTTGATCATCGGGATCTGTGAACAGGGCATTTCGTACAAACTCATACTCCTCTCCCAATACTTTCCCCTTATCATCATAATCCTCTCCTCCTTTATCTAGTAGATTAGACAGGAGAATGCTGCAAAGTAAAAATGGGAGAATATTAACAATTCAACTTCTAGCTCGCTAAAATCATCTAGAGAAAAAAACTACGCAAGAAAATGTAGTCTTGTATCAAGAATATGACAGGTGCGAAGTCGACACCGAACACAGGAAGTTATTCTACTAAAAAAATAAATAAATAAATAAATAAACATTCACATTCTCCAATTCATGACACCTCTAGAATGTCATAAGGTTATTCTATTTCAATGTGATCCACTTGATTAGTGCTAACTAATCGTCTGATAACTAGAGACATTCAATAAACTAAAAGTATTTTCCAAGACACGAAGCTAGATTATGGATCACCGGCCATTTGAATATATGCAAACCGATTGAAACTGAACTCGCAACTTTTGGCATACCTTCGATTGTGCCAGGCTGAATAGTTGCTGAAATTATCGTATATCATATCAGTCGTGTATTTGAGTTCCTCTTCATCTGGAATCTTCTTCAATGCCGTTATGAACCTGTAAGAACCACCCCCCGAAAAAGACCATGTCAACAGATGCTACCGCAAAACTCACTAGTTTGACATGAAATGTCTTAACACTTCACCTCCTGTAATTCCAGGCGTGAAAATTACGGGCATCCAGCTTCTGGAACCTTCCGAGAAGCCGTAATTCCCTGTCCGTGGATGAATGACCTTTGCTCAACACCCATTTTCGGTGATGCCAAGCCCCATAAGACTTAAAATTCCTCTTCAATGCATTCTCCACCTAAAATAAAAAAATAATAATAATAAAAAACACACTCTAACCATTCCACAGCAATATACTCAAAGTCTAAGCCAGAAAACCAACTTGATGGTAGCATCATTTTTCCTTTCCCCTTTTCAATTAGGAAATGCAAAAGTGTATAAAACAGTAAAAAAAAGGCGTACAACTCTCAATTCTTCATCAAAAATCGACAGGATTGACTCGGAGTCAGCTCCGCCCTCCGACCGCTGGTCGAGAAGATGCTGCACGGCGAGTTTCCGGTAGTTCCAACCAGTATAGTGCTCTGGATTTGACTCCAATAGTTTCGCGCTGATTTCAATAGCTTCTCCCGTGTAACTGCAACATAAAAATTTGTGCAAATTAAACCTCTAAACAGCACATCTCAATCAACGAGAAGCCAGATTTCGCACATAGATCGGAAAATTTTTAGGAATAAGAAAAAACTAGAGACATTTTGTTGTGGTGAAAGTGAAGGACTTGGGATTGAAGATCCCGAAGCTTGGCAGCTTTAAGAGATGAAGCCCCTTGCTCTTCTTCAGTTAGAGCTTTCCTCGGCCTTCCGTGCATCTTTTTCTCTCTCTTAGCGTCGGAGTCCGCTGCAGTTTCGCCGCC